AAATTGTAGTGGCAGCATGAAATGTAAATAATCATGTAAAATACTTAAAACTGTACTTAAGTATTCAGTTCTTGAGCAAATTTAATTATTAATTAAATTTGATTTATATAGTGCCAATTCATAACAAAAGTAATCTCAGGACACAATAGAGCAGCATTGTACTGCTTTCCCCTGTATTCCAGGTCATCTGTTTAACTGAAACAAAGGTTATGTAAGGGAAATTAAAGGAATATAAAATCCCTATACTGAGTGAGAACATGTGTTTTCATCAGATTCAGAATATATTCCCAAACCGTCGGTAACATTTTTTAAAAACAAAACTCAACAGCAGTGAGGCGTGAAGAACAACAGGGCAAGTAGAGACAAGTGTACAGAGTTTATAGGGGTGTGGACGCAGTGTGGAGGGAATAAAATACCTGTTCGGCTTTATGAAAGCTATTGGACTACAAAAACGCGTCCAAAACATTGGACATTAAGTAAGACTATATCCAGTAATACACCGTTAAGAATTCAAACTAAATTTCCGAGGGAGAATAAGACTCACACCTGTGAGTCAGGTACTCTGGTATCAGCTCCCTGAGGCTCCACCTCCTGCAGCTCTGCGCTCCTGTGCGCGCTGCGCTCCCTCCGCAGTTTCAGCTGCGCAGACAGCCTGTCCACACCGGGGGATTGTATCCAGACGTACTCTCACTCGCGTCTCGTCCTTTAACTTGTCACCATGAGTAATGTGGCTTCAGAGAACGTGTTTTTGACCGCTTTACAGCCCAACACCTTGGTCACCACCTACGGGCTCCCGTCTGACATCCAGCTCGGGAATGGGAGCTCCGTGTCGGACGAGGTGGCCAGAGCCCGGCGCGTCCAGCAGCAGGTCCAGATGAGACTGGCGGAGAAGTCCACACTTCCGCGTCAGAATGGCTCGACCTCACAGTACGCCATGTCAGGTAAACATCAACAAGTCTCTCTTTATGTTCCGCTTCATGACTACGGTGCCGTGTGGAGACCGCAAAGGAAGGTAGAAACCATTTAAAACCCCCGCACAAGTACAGGTACAGGTGTTCCTGTACAGTACTGAGTTTATAGCTGGTCCCTTATCTGTGCTATGGACGGGGAATGTAAGCTCTTATCTCGGCAGCCAGGCCTGTTAACGTGTTTCTTTTGGCTTTACTCCAAGTTAACTTAAGTAAAGGAAGTTTATGTATGAGCTTTAGGCTTTCTGATGGGACGAGTGAGGAGATGTAACATTAATCATAAAACATTCTTTATAAGCTATATATTCAAAAAACTTTTGTTTTTGCAAAACATGACCAAGTTTCCAGAGCCCCTGGTGGGGTATGTTGTTTTGTCACCTTAAAGCCCCAAAGATATTCACTTTGAAAACCAAGAAATATTTAAAATATATAAGAAATCAGTTAAATCATTAACCCAAAGATTTACTGTCGGTCGACTACTTTCTGTTTTATTTATTTTACTGGAATTCGTACTTCCCCAAAGTAATGCAGATCAGTGGAGTAGCTTTTACTTTCAAGTGCAAGAATGCATGCATCAGTACGCCTGCTGTGTGTGTGTGGTGTGTTTGTGCATGCTTGTCCCTGCTGCATTCCTGTAAACAGCTCATCAGGGGATTTGTCCATTCAGCTGCTCTGCAGGTTCGTAGCAGATAAGTCTCATGCAGAAGCGAGCTCACCATCCGGTGTTTCGTCTACCTATGCATGAGAAAGGGTTAATGTGTAACAGGCCCAAACAAGTGCTGCTTTCATAAACGTCCCTGATCGCAGACTGAAGAGAAAGCCTCCCTCTGTGGGGTTGGGTTTCAGGTCTTACTCAGCTTTAAGAGGTAAGGGTTCAAGAGATACTTGGGAGATGACAGTGTCGTGAGAACCGGCTGTTGTCTGTTCAAAGACGTCACATTGTCAAACGGTGTTCGTCTGAGCCGCACTGGCGCAAAGTCAAGGTGGGATTGTTATGTAAGCAGCAGTGGTGACACTCCCACAGGGGATATTAAAGGTTTCCTGGAGAGTTGGGAATTAGTTTGATGGGTCTGATGACCTGAATTAGTTTCAAATGTGGAGCTACTCATGGACACAGTCTTGTGTTGGTTTTGAAAAATCTGGTAATGTGCACCTGCTTGCTGCTGAGTGATTCATGGAGACATTCCTTCAACGTCCCATAATTCATTATGTTCCCCCAGACTACAGGGAGCAGCTTGACATCAGGTCATTGACCTCTAAAAGAAGAATCTTTTTCTCACTCTTGTAGTTTCAGCTTTCCCCCGCGGCGCCAACAATACCTGAAACAGACAAACATACTGTTCGTACCAATTTTAATTACTGGAATGTAGAGGGACACACAGCATGTCTGCTTAATGGGTCAATGTCTGCTTTTACCTCACTTATGCTTGGACAAACACGTTGGTCAAACATGGCCCTAGGCTGGGCGAGATGTTTGACACTGTTATCTATCACTGTCCTTTACCCTGAGCTCTGCAGGGAGGGAAACACACTACAGTCATAAAATGCTGCCACGTCATATCCACCCGCTCTTTTAAAACCTGCGCAAGACAAAGAATTCCTAACAACACAACAGGGAACACTGCCAGTGGTTTGTGGCTTTAGAGGAACTCATTATGAATGCACGACTGTTCACACATGAGGAAAAAACATCTGTGTCTAAATGCTGCAACAACTGCAGTTGCATTTATGGCAGTGACTAATTGGTGTTCACAGGTGGGCAAGTCTCAGCCGAAAGTGAGTTTGTGTGAAGTTTCGGTTTCGTAAATGTAGTCAATTTTTTCAAAAGACAGCAATGATGGAAAAAAAAGTTTCCTCGCAAGAAAGAGTTTTCAAGGTGTGTTTTCCGTGTGTTGCTAAGGTGTGTTGGGCGTTGCCAGGGTTGGGCTGGGGCCGGGCCAAGTGACGCAGCGTCATTCTCGTCTGTACCAACTGGTCTAGTGTGTGTGTGTGTGCGTGTGTGTGTGGTCTATAGAAATGAAGCATGAAGACAGTCCACCCTCCCCTCTGCTCACATGGGAAGAGTTAAACCTACACATGTTCAGGCTCAACATACAATTTACAGCTCACTCACAGATAAGCAGAGGTAGAATCACAAGGCATTAGTTAGCTTTGAATCATTATCTTTGTGGCATGGATTAAGTACTTATCATCGGCTCGGGCCTCATGTAAGAACATTCGAAGCCTTTTGAAGACTTTTTTTATTAATCTTATTGGTTAGTCAGTCTATCGCTCTGATCCAGACTGAAATATCCCAACAACTATTGAATGGATTGCTATAAAATTTTTATACTAATGTTCAAGTTCCCCAGAGACTGAATCCTACTCACTTTGGTCTTTTGGACTTTGTGGATAAAGTGTAAAAACGTTGGAGATCCCTTAACTTTTCATCTAGTGCCATTATCAGATCAAAGTTTTATACCTTGTTTTTATCAGACGTCATCAGCCTCAGTTGTACTTTGTCTTTAGTGCTGATTAGCAAATATTGGAATGCTAACGCACTAAATTAGGTTAAATCCTGCTAAACATCATCATTAGCATTGACATTGTGAGCATCATGGATGTATTATAAGAAAGGAATCTGACAGTAAACTCTTTTTATTGTTATTTTGCATTACTGCATTGTACCTGGAGCAACAAATTTGTTCTCTGAATTCAGTTTTTAATTAATTTATAAGCACACAATAAGAAATTATATCAACATAATTACACATTTAGTAGATACATACAGTATAATTAATAGGGTTTTTTCACTTTTTGTGACATTGATCCTGACATTTAAGTCCATAAACCTTAGTTAACATTGAACATTTTGCTTCATGGCGAAATGTGAAATGTTCTCTGAGTGAAGGGTAACCAGAGCTAGTGACCAGTCAGGTCCTGCTGTTAAAGACTGTGTGTGCAATCGAATCTTTAGTGCAACAGGACACCTGCTATTCAAACTGTATGTCTTTCGTCGTTTTAAATGAAAGTCATGACTTCTCCTTATGGCTGTGATGAACCATTTGTTACATCAATAATATTCTTGATCATTTCACTTCTTTCTCATATTCTTATTTGTAGTTTTAATGTGGAAACATGAGCTATGTGAAAGTAAAAAGGTTTCAGTGATTGTTTAGTTACGTGCAGTAACATCACCAAAGGTCAGGGTATTATTTATGTATGTGGCAGAGCTCAATTGACACAACAAACACTATTAAAAGTGTTCAAGACATTAAGTTCTCCTCTTGGGCGAAGGTAATGCCAGGATAGCTAACGTTTTTCTGCTTTTACATGATTTCAGATCACATTAATTAATATTTAGAAATTTAAAAGGTTAAAAATCCTAAATTTGTCATTGCTGAAAGGTGACTCACAACTTAAATCCAAAGAAAAAGAACTCGCCGCACCCTGCGCTGTAAAGAATTTCAGAATAAACACTTAAATTCAGTCATGTGGCTTTTAGTCATAAAATCCCCATGAAGTGCTGACAGGTTAGAAATAGAACAAGTTTACAGAAGTGAGAAATGGCTAATGTAGACTGCTTGTTCATGAATTATTTCAACATTTAAAATTTTTGTTCTACATGAACTTATTATACTTATTCAGTTTTGCACATTGAAGTTTTGCTGTAAGTTTGAAGAGTTTAATATGGAGGTTTGCCGACTTTGATAATAATTAAAAGAACGGCTGATCTGCAGTTAATATAAGGCTTCAACAGTCTGAGTTAATGATGATATTGATATTAAATGTGCTAATAATTAGTTGTTCTGTTTTTATGCTTCCTTCCAGACTATGGCGGTTCTTCAACAATGAAATATCAGTCCACTCTCCCAAATTACAGCTCTAAATCATCCTTCATGTACTCAGGCAGCAGAACAATGGTGAGTACTGCAACATTATCTCACAGTTTTAGCATGTATTCACACGTATCATGAAAATATTCAGCTCATCATGTAATGTGTCATCTAACTGGATGCTATAAAAAACAAACTTCATCACTGGCCCTCTGCTGATTCCACAGTGGGTCACCGTGGACCCAGCAGCTGTGGTATTTCTCATTTGGCTGTGATGAGATCAGCTCAGGGTTTTCAAGTCCACCCTCTAGATTCTTCTGTTTTAGTGATTCAACAGGAAGATGCTGGCTTTGTGCCTCAAATGTTTGAGCTCTGAGCTTAAGAGAGACCTTTAGCAAGCTTTCCAATGTGTCTACATTTTATATTTTAGTAAAGAATAATGCTCTCCTCTTCGTAATGAATCATATTTTTGTATGAGAAATGGAAACAAATATGACAGAAAATACACTGTAATCAAATTTAGATACCACCTTTTTTATCAATATGCAGTGAAACACATTCACCCACACATACAGTTCATTAGAGCTCCATGAGAAACTCTGGTTAAACATTTGATTGTAACAGTTATTCCTCTTTTCAGCCTCACGTTCCACGTGTATCCCAGAGGGGGGGCTTCAGCTGCCAGTCTGCTGGCCCAGACATGGCCCAGTTCCACAAGATCANNGGTGGTGGTGGTGGTGGTGGTTATTATCGAGATGACATACGCATGGGCGGCTACCAAGGGGGCACCATGAGGCAGCAGAGCCGAATGGATGCAGATAACCTCTCCATGCATGCAATGCGGCAGCACACAGTGCCGGTGAATCCCTGGCAGCTCGATACCAGCGATGCCGGCAGCCTGGTGTCCGACCGGGACGCCACCTTCGGCCGCCAGTACACTCAGAGTGCAGTCAACGGCTACACCAGCCAGGTGAGGCAAGGAGGAGGCACTATGATCGTTTCGGCACCCATGCACCGTTCTCTTAGTGGTACTCTTACCCGCGGTGGAGGAATGACAGGAGGAGAGGCAGAGATGGTCCAGCAACATTCCTTCAAAGGTCCAGCCCACCGGACCATCAGCAGGATTACAAACCGAAACCGGATGAGCATGGGCTCCATGTCGGGGACCATGCAGCAATTGTCTTCAGGTGGGAGCACATATGGTGGAAGGGACATAGTGGACAGAGGATTCATCCCACCCGGAGTGTCCTATGGTTCCCAAGGGAATCTATTAATGCAGCGTCCAGGCACCCTGTCCCGTGCCATGTCAGTTAAAAGCATGCAAAGTGTGGGCAGGGGCGTGGACATCTTTGGTGGGCAGATGGAGATGGGAGCCAGCATGGGCAACCTCAGCGGGTGAGAAGTTCACATTCACAACAATGATGTTTTCATTCGCAGCACTGGGTATATTGCACGTTCTCTACACTGTTAGACAGATTTTCAGTGTGTAATGGTTGACTAAATATGCAAATCAGTATTTGCAAGAATGTTCCCATTTGACTGTTTAGAGTTCAGAGTACATGCCTATGTTGACTCACACGAGAGGAGTAAATGATAAGTTGGGAGATTTTGTACAACTTTCCTATTGTCAGTAAATCCAAAAAAGACCAAAACCAACAATACGCTGATCCTGCGAACGAGTATCAGGCGAGGCAAATCCTGATAAACAGTGTCCTAATCCTCCAATGAGAGCCTCTATTTCTCATCATGCAAAAACTACACTTCCACTACAACATAAACTGTCCTGCATGCACTAGCGCACCAAATGTTAATCCACTGCTGAAAATTGTCCCACACAAATGCTCTATTTACTCCAGTTTGAGGAGCCTTTGCTAAGAAATATAGTTCAGAAATGATTGAGTTAAAGCTTTATGTGTTCAGTAGGAACAAAAGGGTTTGGGCCTGAGAACCAAATACAAGGTAGCAAAGTCTGACAGTACTGAGAGACGGACTAACTTGGTCTTTTAATGGGATTTGTTGACAATAAGAAAAATATAGAATAATCTCAGTCTTATACTTTAATTACGTTATAATACTCAGTGACAGATATACCAGCACTAGTCATCCTGCTGATTCAGGTTGTTTTATTTTTCCTGAACGTCAGTGACATTTTAGTGAATGTGATACACCAGTATGATGGTGTCACAACTTTCATGTGTCAGGAGGTTTTAGTGAGGGAGTGTGTGTGATGTAAACTGTCTTTTTTACTAAGAGCTGTGGATTGGGAGGTGGCTCCATAGCGGCAGGACTGGTTTTGGGTGTGGCAGCTCAGTTTCAGGCCTCCCATTTCACACATCCCACAGTGTGTGGTTAGCTGAGTGGATTTGCAGACCACTGTGTGATTTAGAAAGAAATTTAACAAGCTGCATTTTGCAGACGAGAAACAAATCATCTATGAAAAATTACTGTGGCTACACTGTTGCTTTTCAATCAACCATTCACAAGACACATTCTGTGCTACCATACATAACAATTGGGTAATTACATAATTAAAGGTTTGAAATTCTTTGGGTTAAATTTGTTAATTTGCTTTCCTTCGGTAGGATCGCCTCCTTGGACATGCCCACAGCCGTGCAGTACCTGAGAGACTCCGACCCTGAGATGCAGGTCCTGGGTGCTGCCTACATTCAACATGAGTGTTACAATGACAACGATGCCAAAAACGAGGTACTTCAAAAGATTGAACTTGTGGTTAGAATTCCTCTGGGTCTTTTCCTCTCTGCAATCACTTATTGAGAAACTCAGTTATGAAGAAAGTAGCTACAGTTCTGCTCCTGTTCTGGTGCGCTCCAGTTGTTCCAAATGTTGCTCAATTTGTCTCAGTGCTGTAAACGTATCTGGACTCTGCCCTCTATAGGTGTTGAATGGCAGATACGGTATCTTATTTGACACACTATTATGACAGCTCAGTCGTTTAGTTTAGGTTATTTACAGCCTCTTGTGAGCTGGTTTAGAGTCCATGTTTAATGAGTTTTATCAAAAGAGATACGGATGATTTCATATTAAAATGAATAGTTCAACATTTTAGGATGTTAACTTATTCACTTTCTTGTTGACAGTTAGATGAGATTGATATCACTCTCATCTTCGTACTGTAAATATGAAGTTACAGCCAGCAGCTGGTTAGCATAGTTAAGCATACAGAGTGGAAACAAGGGGAAACAGCTAATCGGGCTCTTTCTAAAGGTCAAACAAAATCTCAGCACCTTAAGAAATATTTACCATACAGAAAGTCATAATAACTCTTGTGTAACTTTCATCAAGAAAGACAATAGGCATATTTCCCGATCTGGCAACTCCCTGTGGTGCTATAAAAAAAATACTGAGGCTGACAGTAATGCATGCCTGTGCACCATGGATCCAACCCAGGGACACTGACATGAATGGAATGGATGAAACTGAGACTGAACCAAAATGTATACAACCAAAAACTTAAAGTTAGAATAATTTGAAAGTTGATATAATTAAATTTAAACAAAGGGGCTTTAATCCACGAGAAGACTGTGTATATTCAGTTTCTAAGCTAATGAAAAACCTTGAAATTTAGTTTGGTGACACTGACAAATGAAAAATTCACAAATCCTAAACAGAACTTTGTTTTTTGCCACCCTGTCTTTAGGTGCGTAGCTTTAGGGGCATTGCTGAACTGGTGAGGCTGTTCAACAGCGAAAACCAGGAAGTGCAGCGTTACGCTACAGGTGCCACACGCAACCTCATCTATGAGAATATGGAAAACAAGGTGGCTCTGATCGAGGAGGGCGGCATCCCACAGCTGGTCGAGGCACTTAAAGAGAACGACGATGAGCTCCGCAAAAACATCACAGGTAAGAAAACCTTCTCTTTAAGTTATTCAAATAAAAATACATGACACAACAGGCAGAGCTGATCTTCGACTGTTTGTTTTGCCTCAAGCAAAAATGAATGCAGAGGAGTTAGTCACATTATTTGGCAGTGGCGTCCTTGAAAGTATTAAACAGTAGCCTTTGAAATTGATATTATTCCACACTAAACAAATAGGAGGACGCTGGCAAGTTGTAACTAGACTCAAGAATCCACAGACACATTTACTGTTTGAGTGAGTTGAATTTTTTAGGAGATGTGAGAAACAGTTTTCTTTATTTCAGTAGTAAGTGAACTTTATTGTCCCTGCTGTTGTTTCTCTGTTGGTCATTCACAGTTCAAGTCCAAATATGTTTGGTTTCCACAGTTGACTCACCCTTCACCTCTCTCACAAACTCATCTGCTGTCATCATTTACAATTATGGAATTAATGGATGTTGTAACTGCGACTCCATAGTGTGAAGTTTTGTGAGTGCATGCAGAGTAAGAGTCGGAGGTGCAGTCTTTTCTATAGGGTGTGTGAAGTGGGGGAAGACTGAGTATGTGGGAGTTGTCTGTGCCTGTAGACCAGCACTATATATGCCACTCCCTTTTATGAGCGAGAGCCTTGTCAGTCTTTCCTTTGAGCTGTTACGCCTTGATTTGTGTCTGTTGGATAACTGGAAGAACTCATGTTGGTGTCACATATTTAGTCAGAATCTTGTGATAACAGAGTACCTGCAAACCGTTTTCTGGGTAATTTGCCAAAATGTGACACGAAGGTCTTCTCTTACCCGCACAGTGTGAACTAAGGTTTTAGCTTCACTGCCATTTGAGTTTCTCTCGTAGTGAAAGGACTTCAATTAAGTGTTTTAGAATTCATTTGACCCATGCAAGACAATGTAATTCTTAAGGGAATAGTTGAACATTTTGGTAAATACACTTAATTGCTTTCTTGCCAGGTGTCAGATGAGAAGATTTATACCACTCTTATGTTTGAACACATATGAAGCTACAGCAAGTTGCTGGTTAGCTTCTGCTGTGGTCTATTGTCTTCCTCAGCCACCATAACTTTAAGTACAAGTGGGTGTGTTTTGGAGGAGGCTTGGTTTGAACTCTGCTACTGCTTCACCTTCAGTGCTAACAAATTATGATTGTGGGCATGGTTTGTAGGGGTCTTGTTTTGTTGAACTATCTTTCTCTTTAAACTGAAGTTACTGTAAAATAATTAAAGAACAGCAATTTGCAAAATGAAGCATAACTCAGTTTTGCTGACACTCCCTTTGTGTGTATATGTGTGCAGGTATCTTGTGGAACCTTTCATCCAAAGACAACCTGAAGCAGAAACTGGCCAAGGAGACACTTCATGATCTGACTGAGAGGATCCTCATCCCTCTGTCAATCAGCGAAGACTCTGACAACCTCCAGCAATCCGCCTCTGAGGCGGAAATCTTCTACAACACCACAGGATGTCTCAGGTGCACCTCATTTATTTGTGTCTTCTCTTTGTGGTTGCAACATGCTCCTTTGTTGAAATTCTTTCTGGATCACCTGTGTCGGCTTTTTCTCTCATGACCATATTTGCATTTTGGGAACTTAGCATGTGTTTTACCACACCTATCACTCTTCATTGTTGTTTGCAAAAGCCTGTGTCACTCCTACCGCCAGTTGCTTTTGTTCTGCTCTGTTTATGTGCACCCTGGAGAGTTTTCATCTCCAAATGAATTGCCATATGGGGAGTATTTGCATGGCTCCCTGCATGTAAAAAGTAATGACATTCACGATTCCTGACTTAATTTTACTTGGAATAGTTCTCTGATCTCTCACTAGGGTTATTATAGTTAACTAAAACTAAATCAAAACTTAAAACTAGGTTTAAAAAAATGTTTAGTTAACTGAAATAAAATCTAGACTTAGTTAACCGAATCAATATCGTGTATGTTTCTAGTTTTAGTTTTCGCCCTATTTGTCAGGTTTGTAAGGAGGAGGAGGCATTTGTGCATGTGTTTATTGAGAGGGGGATGTCTACATGACTGTGAGTCAATGTGTTTGTATTGTAATACCTATTCTGACAAATACCCCTGATATTATAATAAAAAAACTGGGGTGCCCAGATAGCTCACCTGGTAGACCTGGCGCCCCATGTACCAAGGCTGCCCTTTGCTGCATGCCATCCCCTCTTTCTTTCTCCCTGCTTTTCTGTCACTCTTCAGCTGATACTATGGATTAAAGGCAATAAAAGCCCCAAAAATATAATAAAAAACATTTTTACAAAATTAAACATACTAAAGATTTAACTCAAATAAGAAAAACCCGCTAACTGAAACTAAACTAAATCAAAAACAAAAATGAATAAAACTAATGAAAAATTCTATAACTATAATAACCTTGCCTCTCACTCGCTCTGTGTGCGTTCAGGAATCTGAGCTCTGTGAATGAAAAGACCCGCCAGCAGATGAGAGAAACACATGGACTGGTGGACTCTTTGGTGAAATATATCAAGGTCTCCTTTGAGGATAGCAAGGCAGATGACAAGGTGAGACAAGGAGAGGTGGACCTGAATTTAAGCAGCTTTTTCTGGTCAGCCAAAGTTTTGTGTATTCACTTTGTGTCTGTGTGTGTGTATTTGTAGGGGGTGGAAAATGCAATGTGTGTCTTGAGGAACCTCTCCTACCAGCTTTACACTGAGATGCCTCCATCAGCCATGCTGCGCCTGGAAGGACCAACCAGAGCTCAGGGCTCAGGAAAGGGTGACGCCATTGGTTGCTTTACACCTCAGAGCAGGAAAGCCAAAAATGTACGCTTACGTGAGATTAACCCATCAGCATTTTACGTGCATGAACCAGACTATCCATCTCAACGCTGCCTTTTTGTACCTTGCTTCCACTGACAGAGCAAGAACCGGGATCTCTCCACTTTCACCGAGGTTGCTCGGGTGCCGAAGGGTGTTGAGTGGCTGTGGCACCCACAGATAGTGGGGGTGTACAAGAACGCACTGCAGCAGTGTGAGATCAACTCCACCACCCGCGAGGCAGCTGCAGGAGCGCTGCAGAACATCACAGCTGGAGACAAGAGGGTACGCAGCGTATTCATTGATTTTCCTGTAAAAGCACTTAAATGCAACAATGTAGGTTTCCCATATTTGAATTGTCTGTCTCTCATTGTCCTGCAGTGGGCTTCAGTGCTTAGCCAGGTGTCTCTGGAGCAGGAACGCATACTGCCAGTGTTGTTGGACCTCCTGCGTACCAACAAAGATGTGGAGCTGCGTTCTCTTACAGGCCTCCTCCGAAATCTGTCCCGCCATGCCAGAGATAAGAATGACATGGGTCAGTCTTTGTTCTTGATTTTTATGCTCGTTGTGGATAGATAATTTGATGCCCCTGAGTTACCTTTTAATTTAGTATACCTGTAACCTATTCAGTAAAAACTGTTTGTGTAATTTGTGCATCGTGAGATGACACTCTTCCCACCAAGGCTGACTTTAATTGGGATTTGTCTGGTTGTGAATGTTAATGTTGAGACCTAAACACCACTGAATTTGTAGCATTGAAATATTTTACTTTGAAAAGCATTTATCTACATTTATGTGGTTGGAATTTTTGTCTTTCCAGGAGTAAAAAAAAGTTGAGTCAAAAACTTGATTGTAGGTATTTTTTAAGGGATTTAATAAGATTCAGATTTAATAATTCAAGTTCAAATAAAAAATAAATAAAAATCAGGTTGCTAAAATTTGATTGGGAAAACTAAGTCAATCAAGCTCGAATAGAATTAATCAGTCAGTCTATAACATTAAACAGTAATTACTAAAAGTGCAACAATCAAAATTGGTACAAACATTGGTAATATTTATTAAGAATTAACACTGAAAAGTCAGTTTGTCTTTCTCATCTGCCTGACAACATAAACATAAGTGAACAACCTCAAAACAAAACAAAAAATACAGAAAATCTCTCATGTTTTTGAACGTTGGCAGTAAATGATGTGATCATGCACTGTCCATTGCTAATAGGAATTATATGGTTGTGATAATGGGTTTTAAACATTTGATCCTAACAATACTTTTGGTTTATTCAGCCACGAAGGTGGTGAACATCCTGGTGACCAAGCTGCCTGCCGACGGACATCAGAAGGATCCCACCAGCGATGTGGTGGTCAACATCTGTGGTATTCTCAATAACCTGGTGACCAGCAGCTCATTAGCTGCCAGAGACATCACCTTCTTTGATGGCATTCCGAAACTGATCGGCATCAAGACCTCACATGACAACAGGTGAGTGGTCTCCCTCCACTCAAAAATATGT